GCTCAAAATCTAACAGAGGCCGCTTTTGCTAAATTTCTTCGTTCCTTGCTTTGAACTCTGTTCATTGAAATCAAATCTAAAGGGGGCAAAAAGGGGTTTACGTTACGCTCGAAATCTAAACGGTGCAAAAGGGTTTTGCACTCAAATCTACCGGTCGGCGGTCGCAAAATAGTTTTGCTCTCAAAATCTAACTGTGCAACATGGTGTTCTACTCCAATCTAACGGCGCAGACAGCTTCTGTGCTCACTCTCGCAAGGTCGATCTGGAGTATGGGGGCCCCGTTGTTCGGTCGTCGGTGGACATGCTGCCGAGGCTGTCGCAGCAGAACCACGTGGAACGCATCCGACGCGACCCGACGGAAATGTTGGCGGGACTATGCCGATGCCCACCAACATGACCGATGCTGAATAGCGCTTTGCTTTCGAAGCACGCACCTCACTTTAGAACTCAGTCACTTTACAAAGTGATGTCATTTCTTGCGCTATATTTAGTAACCGGAAGGTAGACTCCTCGCCAGAGCCGGCACTTGACGAACCTCTCTCTCTCTCTCTCTCTCTCTCTCTCTCTCTCTCTCTCTCTCTCTCTCTCTCTCTCTCTCTCTCTTCCAGCAGACACTTTACGAACCTCTCTCTCTCTCTTCTAGCCGGCACTTAACGAACCTGTCTCTTCCAGCCGGCACTTAACGAACCTGTCGCTTCCAGCCGGCACTTAACGAACCTGTCTCTTCCAGCCGGCACTTAAGCCGCTAGTACACGGCCCCAGCCTTGCAGAAAGTTTTTGTCGCCACAAGCAAAACTCGGAGGCGCCGTGCGGCCAGGCCTGCCGTTGAAAAAAAAAAATTGGCGGCCTCCGAAGTGGTGTGGGTTTCGTGCTGACACCCGTGGGCCGGTATGTGGTGTACTGGTGCCTTAAGAACTTGTCTCTTCCAGCCAGCACTTTACGAAGCTCTCTCTTCCAGCCGGCGGCACTTGAGAACCTGTCTGTTCCCTATGTGTTAAGTAAAAAGGAAGACTACCTCTTCCTTCCCTGAGCAGGCACTTAAGAATCCATTTGTGTGTTTTCTGTGTTGGTGTAACTGGAAAGATAACTCCTGCTCCGCTGAGCAGGCACTCGAGAACGCGTTTCCGTTTCCTTTGAGACGTCCATTCCTTCCATTACTTCTTTTGCCGATCACTTGGCCACAAACTGTGCCTGTCTGTTTGTTTGTTGTGTTCTGTTCATTCAGCTTCTTTCGGTTTAGGCCATATGTACACACGGTAGGACTCGCTGAGGATGTATCTGACCTTCTATACAGCCAAATTCTTTCTGAAAGGGGCAAGTGTGAACATGAACTTGCTTTCTCAAGGTCGTCTCAAGTTCTGGAGGGGGGGAAGATGTCAGACTTTGCGCGAATGTTGCTGGCATTCCTGCTTGTTGTCGGCGAGAGGTTGAGGCCATGGAGAAGGGGAAGCGACCGCTGCCGTCGACATTTTACTCGTACTGAGCTGTGTATGCTCAACGCCAAGATGAAATACGCCAAACACCCATAACCGAGAGCCATCGCAAACAATATCCAGCAGTCTCGACTGAGATGGCTTGCATCCAGACCGGACCTCCGCAGCAATACTTCCCCTGCATTCCAAATGGATAAGAAGAAAAAGGTTCGGAAAAAAGAAGAAGAAAAAAGGGTGCACAAATAGCGTTAAGGACGAGTATGTCAGCCGTCGATCTGTGATTGGAACCCAACCCATGTGTGTGGCTAAATGGTACCCTTCTCTTTTTTTTTTTTTTTTTTTTTTTTAATGGAACACTGATATGTAAACTGTTTGTAAAACAAATCACGACTTTCATTGGAACCCAACCCATGCATGCGGCTAAATATTACCGTTTTTTTTTTTTTTTTTTTTTTTTTAATTTTACACTAATGTAAGCTGTTCGTAAGGAAAAAAAAAAAAAAAAAGCTGTTCGTAAAACAAATCAAGACTTTCATTGAGTTCGTATCCTTTTTCTCTCTTTTTTTTTTGCGTGGTCCCCAATGCGATGGTGTGTATCTGATCCCACTACGATTTGAACACATGATCTCCCTAATAACAGTTACATGTGTGTGGTCCCCACTGCATTTGGGCGGTCCCGATTTGGGTGGTCCCCAATGCGATGGTGTGTATCTGATCCCACAAGTGATGAGTTCGAACCCTGCTGGGAACAGATGAGTGTGAAAACTTCAAAATTGCAAATAAAAGGAGTTTCTCAAACAGATTGCAAACAAAACGAAGCACTGCAATGGCGGCGGGAGGGGGGGGGGGGGGTAAGCGTGGGGGGGAGGGGCAGCACGCAGCGGGGGAAGGAAGAACAAAGAGACGGAAAAGTGCTTTGAACCGCTTAGATTCACATTCTAATCACATGCACAATGAGAGTTCACAAAGAAATTCACACTGAAGTCCAGAGATGGGAACACCATATTAGCGCAGCTTAAGAAACTTCAATGAATGATGATCATATTATACAAATTCAGAGTTCGAGTCACCTAGCGCTCATCAGCGCAATAGTCAGCAGCTTCAACAAGGTATATAACTGACTTCACTCCTCACGTACTCTCCCTCTCTCCCTCTCTCCCTCCCTCCCTCCCTCCCTCCCTCTCTCTCTCTCTCTCTCTCTCTCTCTCTCTCTCTCTCTCTCTCTCTCTCTCTCTCTCTCTCTCTCAACGCTTGTATCACACAGCTCTGCTCTCTCTCTCTCTCGCTCTCTCTCAACGCTTGTATCAAACAGCTCTCTCTCTCTCTCTCTCTCTCTCTCTCTCTCTCTCTCTCTCACCGACTGTGTGAGAAGAAACAGCACCTAGCAAGAGAGAGCGGCAAGATACATCCATGGCGTGTTTAGCATTTCGGCCTCGAAGGAGGTCGTGACTGGAAACCACCGCCATAACACAGGCACACAGACAGGTAGAAAGAGAGATGAAGGGGGAGATTCATCGGGCGGGCGGCCATTCGGCACAGAAGAACAGTGTGCTGATAAAATACGGCTTCAGTTCTGAACACGTCACAGTTGCCGTGCTACAGGCTGGCATGACTGTTAAGGCCGAGACCCCCCCGTTCGATTCCGTGTGGCTGAGGACGGACCCTGGCAAATGTACTGAAGGATAGAATATTGGCTCAGACTGAGTTGACAAGCTCGAAAAGAGGATCCCACTCGTCAGACTCAGATTACCATCCTCATCGGAATAGAATGCCCGGTCATTCAAAAAAAAAAGAAGAAGAAGAAGCAAAAAAAAATGCCCCGTCATTCCTGCCGACTGCCATATTGGGGTCAACTTCGGGTTTCAGGGGTCTGGGTTTTGGGTTCAAGGGTCTAGGGTTGGGGTTCTGTGTTTTAGGGGTCAGGGTTTAGGGACTAGAATTGGGGGGTTTCGGTCTTGATGGTTGAGGGTTCCGAGTCGGATCATCCAAGGTTGCTTTTTTAGGAATTATTAGGGTTTAAGGCCCCCTACGGTTAGGGTTTGCACTGGTCTAGGGTAGGGGTTTAGTGTTTTAGGGTTCCGAGTCGGATCGTCCAAGGTTGCTTTTTTAGGAATTAGGGTTTAAGGCCCCCTACGGTTAGGGTTTACGATGGTCTAGGGTAGGGGTTTGTGTTCTAGGGTTCAGAATATAAGGGCTACAGTGTGAGAATTTTGGGTTGGGTTTTGGGTTTAGGGCCCTACGGTTAGGGTTTAGGATGGTCTAGGGTAGCGGTTTAGTGTTTTAGGGTTCAGAATATAAGGGAGACAGTGTGAAGAGTTTTGGATTTGACAGTCTAGAGTATGAGGGGTCTGGGTTTTGGGTTCAAGGGTCCAGGGTCCAGGGTCCAGGGCCTAGGGTTGGGGTTTAGTGTTTTAGGGGTCAGAGGTTTAGGGACTAGGATTGGAGGTTTACGGGCTTGATGATTTAAGGTTCAGCGTAGGATCACCAAAGGTTATTTTAGGGTTTGAGATTTAGGGTTCTAGGGTGTAGGGCCCCGGGGGGTTAGGATTTAGGAGGGGTCTAGGGTTGGGTTTGGGGTTTTTAGGGTTCAGGATTTAGGGGCTAGGGGCTAGTATTTGAGAGTTTTTGGTTTTGAGAGTCCATTGGTTTTGGGTTCAAGGGTCTAGGGTTGGGGTTTACTGTTTTTTGGGGGGGGGGTAGGGTTGGAGGTTTTCGGTCTTGATCATACTTGCAAGCGGACGCTGTCCGGGCGGTTCCGCACGCGCGGCAGACCACTGGACCGGACCCCCACGGCGCACGAAGGTGCGCCCGACGACCAGTTACGCCCCACCCCCGAAAAAAAAAAAAAAAAAAAAAAAGGCCCTGTCCGGTCCGGTCCGGGTCCGTATGGTCCGGGGGGAGGGTGCCGCACGCGGCAAAGCGGACCGGACCGGACGCTCGTCCGGTCCGTCTGCTTGCGAGTATGGTCTTGATGGTTTAGGGTTTGGAGTAGGGGATTGAGGGCTGAGGGCTAGGGTTTTATGTTTTAGGGCTAGAGTCTTCCCCCGAATACAACGTACGGTCAGTATAGCTGAATTTGGGGCATCTTTCAGTCTAAATACAGCTATAATGACCGTGCATTGTATTCGGCGGAAGAAGGTAAGAGTTAGGGTTGAGTGTCTAGAATCTAGGGTTTTCGCCGAACTTTTCGGTTGGACGGTTTCAGTTTTTGGGTGTCAGGTTTTAGGGTTTTGGAAGGGGATGCTGCGTCCACTTCCCAGCTACTCCAGAAAACAACCGAAAAAAAAAAAAGGGAACGAGGACATAGAAGACAAAACAGGGTTCAGGGTTTTGGACTTCAGAGTTTCTGGTTTAAGGCGCTGGGTGTTTTTTCCCATTGTCCCTCTCCAGGAAGCGCACCATAACAGAGGAATTGAGACCAAGAGCCGCGCTCAACATTCTAAATGTATCTAGACCTGGAAATGGCCATGCTACGTTCAAAGTTTAAGATCAGTCCAAAAAATGCATCTGGCTCGTCCATCTGTCCACATTCACTTACAATGTCATGCAGCGGAGCGAGCACCGAAGGCAGAGGAAGTTCGTTGTGTGAAGGGCAGGTGCGGCCGGAGGGGAGGGGGGGGGGGGGGGGGTTGGAGAGCGGAAAGCGGAAAGCATGTCACGAACCTGGGATTTGCTCTGGCGGGTCGAGAGAAATGCTCCATTGACTGTAGGTCAGTAATGTGCCGCGCGTTCCACTGACCATGAGCGCTTCAAATGCGTAGTGGAAAAAGGAAAGGTGATGAATCCACCGGATCTGCTTCGGTATATGTTCAATCAGCAGAGGGTAACCTGCCAAAAATGGAAAGAGATGATGTGAGGGGGGATGCTGCGTCCACTTCCCAGCTACTCCAGAAAACAACCAAAAAAAAAAAAAAAGGGAACGAGGACATAGAAGACAAAACAGACGTGAACAAAAAAAAAAAAAAACAAAAAAAAAAACAGGCATGAACAAATGCCATGCGAGCGCGTGCGCAGGCTGCGCGGGCCACGTACGCATGACGCGATGTTGGGCTGCAAGGGTCTGCTTCGGGCATAGTCACACGCATACTTCCCTGATTGCAGCCACATTCAGCTGAGAATATCCGACTGTGAGTATGTGCCCCAAGTTCCGCTGCACAGAAAGAATCTTTCCGAGTATCATCGTAGCGCAAGCACTTTAATTTTTTTTTTTTTTTTTTTTTTTTTTTTTTTAGTATATATAGAGCTCCTTATAGCAAAGATCCCTTGCCCCCAAAATAGGAAGGGAGACGCAGAGTGGTGATGCGGAATTCATACAATGGAGTTAAAAAGCCTGGAAGCGACAGCGGAAGCATATACAGAGCATAGAGAAGGAAATGGAGGAGGGAGAAAAGGAGTAGGAGAGTGAGATAACACACATGAAGACAGCCATGGACAAGAGTACGTGACAAAAACCACGCACTTATATACATGTACTCAGATGTGAACGGAGTGCCATGCCGAACAAAAAAATCTTGTCTTGCATTCTTATTGAATATTTTTAACTTTTAAGTGCATCATCTCCCAGAAGATCTAAAATAAATTTAAATAATTGCTTTACGATGTTTTTTTTTTTTTATTTTTACATTTATGATTTATCGGAATTTTTATCCAGGTGTTCTCGGAGCTGAAGAAGCGCTCCCCCATTGTACAAACATAAAACAAAAGGCCAAAAAAAAGAAAAAAAAAGAAAAAAAAACATAACAAGTTAAAAACAGTATAAAACCCTACCGGCGCTCGCAAAAGCACTTTCCGAGTTAAAATAATAAGCAATCGATGCTGACACCCCCTGGGGCCAAGTCCCACTTACCTGAATTCTCAATTCCCGACCTTCGATTAGCAAGATCGACGGCCAGAAATGAAGAATCAGCATAAGTGGGACTTGGCCCCTGTTAATCACGTGTGACAGGATCAGCTATTCCCCAACGAGAGGTTGGCGATGCGCCTCCTCCCAGCGGGTCAGGGGGGACCTTGTGCGGAAGAGGCACCTTCCTCCATGGATAACTTTCCCCCCCCC